AAAGCCACTGATGCTGTCAGCAACCTGCTACCCTTGGCCCAAGGAGCCCTGAGCGGCCTGCTACCCAACACTGTGGCGAGGGATCCTGCAAAAAAAGCTGACCAGGACTCTTCTCTTCTCTCAAACCTCCCCCTGCCCCTGCCCCTGGGTGGTGTGCTCAACAAAGTCGGCGAGCTCAAAGAATCCGCCGAGGGCGTACTAAAGAGTGCGGTGCCAAGTGGCATCAATGATGCACTCTCGGGCGTGCTGGGAAATATTAACGTGAAAGATCTCTTGATAGGGTAAGTGCTTCCTTGCCCCTAAGGTATGGCACATGAGAAAAGTGATGTTTGGGGATACTGAAGTTCAACCTCCTACAAACCCATGGAAAGGGACAGCCATGTTTGCACAAAGCAATATTCTAGCTCTGTGTCCTTTGGGGGGAAATATGAACAAGATTTCTTGAGCTTAAGGAACTGGGCGGCTAACAGGACTGGGCCATCCAGGGGATGGATGGGTTGGTAGGTTGTTAATTGGCTGCTTCAAAGGCATTTCTCCTGCTGCTCAGGCTGATTCCCTGAGTCGGGACTGACCCTGGATGCTGTCATTTTGCAGATTAGAGGTTCAAAAAGCGACTGTGGAGAACATGATGTTGACCATGACAGATGATGAGATCCTCGTTCAAGCTGTGACTACCGCCTTCATAGGTGGAAAAGGGTGAGCCTGTCTCCAAATCAGTCACCTGGGTTGCCCTGGACAATACCCTTAATATCCAGTATCCAAAGGGCCAGGCAGGGACAACACAGAGAAAGGCAGGATGTCTGAGGATGGGGCAAATTAGGCACTGGGCACAGCTGCCCCTCTCCTCCAGCCCAGAGGACCAAGGAGGGATAATGACTCCATGGAACTCCATCTTCAAAGAGTGTAAACAAAGCCAGAAATCCAAATTCCTTGTGAAACATGCACATTTATACAGATGGCCAATGTAGAGAGAAACCACAGAGTGCACCTCCTACTGACCGCACTGGATTCCTGGGAAGTGTAGCTTCCAAACCATCTGCACTCTCCAAAGAGCAGCAGCCCACTCTCACAAACACTGTCCTAGGCAGCTGGGGGAGACAGAGATGTTTCATTGCACTCCAGTAGCTACCAATGCAAACATGCATGCATGCACATGTTCATTCATCCACCTATCATGTACTACTCTGTACCGGACGCCATGCTGGGCACAGAGGGAGGAACTAAAAGTGGGCCCTCTCCTCGATGAGAGTCGACATGTGGGAGAGGAACACGTTCACAGGACAGGCCCAGGGCACACAGAAAGGCATGAGAAGGGCAGGAACCCCCCTGGGAGAAGAGGATTCCTTGGACTAACCCACAGCACTGATACCTCTCACTGACCGAGCTCCATCCAAGCACTTAACTGAGGCACTCAACTTCCAAAGCCCCTTGACAACCTCATCAAGAAAGCAGTCCTGTCTCAAGATTGGGAAACCAGTAGAGACCCACAAACTGCTTATAAACCTTGCTCAGTGTCACACAGCTGAAATGTGGCAGTGACAACACTTGAATCCAGGCATTCTGCCTCCACAGCCCACGTCTGTGACCAACACCATTAGCAGTGGTAGGAAGAGCCATTTGTCTTCTTCAGATGTTAATATGTTAATAAGACCAGGTGTGGTAAATGGTGGGTTTTTCTGATGCTGTCACTCACACAATAGACAGCTGGGGTGCTGGGCACAAAAGTGAACCTGTAATGGGCATCCAGTTCCAAGGTAGCCTGGTGCCTCCAGGAAAAAAAGACTTCCTGAAGTTGGGTCAGGAGAGGGATTTTCCAATGTTTATGGAATGCCAGCCTCTGAGTCCTGTGTACAGGGGATGTTCAACCTTGGCTCATGCTCATTAGAAAGCACCAGACTTTCCCCTCCTCCAATAACCTGGACAAATTCATGAGACTGACTCCCAAAATGCCTATCACTTTGGCTGAGCAACATCTTGCAGCCAGGTCTGGTTTCACCTCTATCTTGTTCTCCACAGCCTGTTAGGACCTGTAATCAGCATACTGGGATTTCAAATAAATGGCGATGTGACTCTGAAAATTGGTGTTTCCACAAATGACACCCAGTGTGTCAGCTTCCAAGTCCAGGACAAGGTCATCAAGGCTACGAAAGTGTACCTGCAGTTGGTGAAGACGTACGTGAGACCATTTTTCTCATTTTCTGGATCAACAGGCCTGTGTGCTAGAATGTTTTCTTATGTTAAATCTACCTAGAACTCCATTATGGGATGCACTATAAATTATTTAACCAGTCCCTTATCAAATAATGGTTTTTTTCCAATTATTAACTTTTATACCCAATACTAATTAGTAAAGTCCCAGAAAAACCTACTCACCAAACTGCACAGTATCTGATGGATAATTTCTCGTTTTTTTCAATATATTTTTATTGATTTCAGAGAGGAAGGGAGAAGGAGAGAGAGATAGAAACATCAATGATGAGAGAGAATCATTGAAATGGATGGGTTATCTCCAATGTGGGACAAAATCCAGAAATGCAAAAATCACACAGCTCTCCACATGTATCTTCCCCAGGGTCACAGATACTTTGCCTCTCCCTATCCCTCTGCCCTTGGATGATGTCATTCCTCAACTGCTGACAGTTGCCATGAAAGAGAAAGTAAGTCATAGGAAAGGGGCGGGCACCACCACAAAGGTCTATGTCATTGGAGGGAAGACAGGAAGAAGCCCTTTCCTCAGATATGGCCTGATGCTGGGAAAGACGTGGGGAGGACACATCAGCCTTCAGGAGTCCAGAGGCTGGGGGATGCAACATTCCCTCTGACCCCAGCAGTGGGATAGGACAATGCCTCAAGCTGGTGGGGATAGGGGGAGAGGATGAGTTCTGCCAAAAAGAAGGCCAGGAAATAGAAGAGGGAGAAGGGAAGGAGGAGAGGGAAGAAGGAGAAGAGGAGCTGGGGTGTGGAGATGGGTGGGACGGCTGCATGTCCTCTGCAAAGCTAACTGGTGGTTAATTCACAGATGAAAGAATCAACCTCATGTGACATTGACCTCAGTGATTTCAGCGAATGCAAGAACTGTGAGTACAAACACCTGACTTCCCTGGGGCTGCCCAGGTCAATGCAGGGAGACGGCCAAGCCCCATAGGAATCCCGTTGGGTGACAGACAGAAGAGGGGGCTGTGAGCTGCAACACTGGGTACCTCCAAGCACCCAACCAACTCCGGGGATCGAGCCCACAACCAGGGCATGTACCCTGACCAAGAATCAGCTGTGACCTCCTGGTTCATAGATGGACGCTCAATTACTGAGCCATGCCGGCAGGCTGAAGGATAATTTTATAATGTAAAACACTGAGTCAGATGTCTGACTTTGGTGATTTTCCCAGGTACCCTCGCTTCTTCCTTCATGACTATAACTGAAGGTGAAAGGGCTCAGGTGGTTGCAAATTGTAAGCAGCAGGACATCATTGCAGCTATATCATCAATGAATGGGTTATCTCCAATGTGGGACAAAATCCAGAAATGCAAAAATCACACAGCTCTCCACATGTATCTTCCCCAGGGTCACAGATACTTTGCCTCTCCCTATCCCTCTGCCCTTGGATGATGTCATTCCTCAACTGCTGACAGTTGCCATGAAAGAGAAAGTAAGTCATAGGAAAGGGGCGGGCACCCCCACAAAAGTCTATGTCATTGGAGGGAAGACAGGAAGAAGCCCTTTCCTCAGATATGGCCTGATGCTGGGAAAGACGTGGGGAGGACACATCAGCCTTCAGGAGTCCAGAGGCTGGGGGATGCAACATTCCCTCTGACCCCAGCAGTGGGATAGGACAATGCCTCAAGCTGGCGGGGATAGGGGGAGAGGATGAGTTCTGCCAAAAAGAAGGCCAGGAAATAGAAGAGGGAGAAGGGAAGGAGGAGAGGGAAGAAGGAGAAGAGGAGCTGGGGTGTGGAGATGGGTGGGACGGCTCATGTCCTCTGCAAAGCTAACTGGTGGTTAATTCACAGATGAAAGAATCAACCTCATGTGACATTGACCTCAGTGATTTCAGCGAATGCAAGAACTGTGAGTACAAACACCTGACTTCCCTGGGGCTGCCCAGGTCAATGCAGGGAGACGGCCAAGCCCCATAGGAATCCCGTTGGGTGACAGACAGAAGAGGGGGCTGTGAGCTGCAACACTGGGTACCTCCAAGCACCCAACCAACTCCTCAGCACACTCAGGGCACACAGTGTGACAGCCTACCTGCTTCTCCAAATTACTGAGACTCGTTATCAGGACATAAAGGGCAAAAAGCCCCTTAGAGGCTCCGTGTAGCTCCCCAGGCCCAGATGGTTTGCAAAGTGCACATGTGTGTGGAGCCTGAGCAAGGAGCAGTCCCAGGCCCTCACACCAGGGAGGCTGAGAGGCAGAAATTCCTTCTAATATCCCTTTACATAACCAAGGTACGGATGACAGGACTTTGTCAGGCGGCTGCCATCAAGACAGCCAAAGCAGGAAATTGGTGATATTTGTCATGTCGCGAGGTAGACAAAGCATGGGACCTGGGCAGCAAGCCTTTTCCTCCCCCTGGAGGTTTCAGCACAGCGGGGGCAGGGCTGAGTCCTCATGTCACCTTCCTCCCTTCAGCTTCCTCCTAGACTCAGGAGAAGAAGCCAGTGTGGCACCAGCTTTTTGTGTGGGACTGAGGGAAAGGATGGTGTCACCCTGGTCCCCCATCTGGAGGGCAGAGCCAGGCAGAGAATCCAGGGCCCGACACCCGCTAGGGGTCTGTCAGGTCCCTCTAGGTTCTCTCTTCTCTCCTGCAGCTACTGGCTTGTTCGCGTACCAACTTAAAAGTTTCCAGCTATCGGAAGAAGGTCTTTCAACCCTCTACTGTGTAAGTGTTCTTTGCTCTTAAGATAAGTTCTGCAGGAAAGCTGGAAATTGATGTTAGCCTCACATGATGGCATGATGATTTTCTGTTTTTCTCTCTCTAGGCCTCCTTTAACAGAAAAGTCCTTCTGCCTGGAAGCCCCCTTTCTCCAAATCCTAAAAATGCCAACATTTCCATAACTATGTCTAACATAATGCTCAGGGAAATCATCACCCTCAGTGCCAAGCAGAGCTCCATCCAGGTAAGCGTCATCACATGGCTCCTGGCACCACTCTCCTCTTTGCTTAAGCCTCGTCTATCAACCTCTAAGTCTGAGGAGATAGAAATGGCTTCTGGGACATTCTTCGAGAGACAAATATGAGGAAATGGGATACACATTATCCCTTTGGATCGTTTAAGGGAAAGCAGGTTTACATCAGGGAAAACAGAGAGAAAGGGCACCAGAGGACAAATGCTTTCTGAGTGCATTCTATGTGCCAGGTACAATGCCAGTTGTCTTTACATAATTAATGACATTTAATCTTCACAACAGATCTGGGAAGTAGGGATTCTTATTCTCATTTCTCAGATGACCAGCATGAATGAAGTAACTTCCCAACAGTTACAGCATGAGCAAGGGAGTGGGTTTATCCACCTGTGAGGTATTCAGTTGCTCCCAGTGGTAGAAGGAATAGTAGCAGTCAGTAGTTATAACAAAACTAGAGGCCCAGTGCATGGATTCATGTACCAGTGGGGTCCCTCGGCATGGCCTGCGGGGATCCGGCCAAAACCGGCAGTCCAACGCCACCTGCCGCTCCTGCCTGCTGCTCCCGCTCATCCCGACCCTGTCGCAGTCAGTCCCAATTGGGAAAGGCTCCTACCGCCACAGCAGCGCTCACCAGCCATGAGCCCTGCATCTGGCACCCATCAGTCAGCTGAGCGGCACTTCCACTGTGGGAGCACACTGACCACCAGGGGGCAGCTACTGCGTTGAGGGTCTGCCCCATGGTGGTCAGTGCACGTCATAGCAACCGGTTGACTGGTCAGTCGACCGTTCAGTTATTCGGTCACTTAGGCTTTTAAATATATAGATAATAATCACTGAGTACTGTCTATGTGCCAGGTTCTGTTTCAAGCAATGTACAATGTATCCTTAACAAAGTCTCCCAAAATAATCAAGTACAGAGTTGTCTGCCACTAGAGCATAGAAATAAATGGGCTTTAGCCCTAGCCAGTTTGCTCAGTGGATAGACCGTCAGCCTGTGGACTGACGGTCATGGTTTCCGATTCCTGGTCAGGGCCCATGCCCGGGTTGCGGGCTCAATCCCCTGTGGGGGGCATGCAGGAGGCAGCCGAATTATTCTCTCTCATCATTGATGTTTCTATCTCTCTCTCCCTCTCCCTTCCTCTCTGAAATCAATAAAAATATATTTTTTAAAAGAAGAAAAAAACAGGCTTTAAATTGAATGAGAATTAATAGAAAAGTAAAATTTTATCTGTTATATGCACCACTGTGCTTCTGAGAATGAAAAAGAGATAAACGGCAAGGTCTGGAATTAGACCCTGTCCGTGTGGTTAGATCAGCCATGCCAGCACCTGGCTAGGTGACTAACTCATACTACAGGATCAATAAACATTTGAATAAATGAATTGCATGAAGCATGGGTGTTTCATAATGGAACATTCTGCGGGCCTTCTTCTTCTCCTCTCCACACTCTAAATGATGACTTCTTTACAACAGATGAATAACCTGAATGCGTACATCACCAGAGTATTCTATGCCAGCCTGCCAGACAACCAAGTCCAAGCCATCTTCTGGGTCAACGTGGATAAGGATGGTGAGAGCTTTGCCCAAGGGCAAACGGTGAGTGCTGAGTAGTAACAACTCAGGGTTCAGTTGCGAGGAAAAAAAGAGTGTTTGATGGGGGGAGTTACTACCATAACCCTGAGGGCCAAGTGCCTGGGTGACCCTAAGACAAGGGGCATCAACCAGGCTGGGGGGCTCAGCTGCCAGGGGAGAATAAACAGGTTGTCTCCTAAGATCAGAGAGTCTCCACTCTAGTTCTGACCTGTGGCCTTGTTGGTCATATCACGATGTGACATGTTTGCTGAGTAGCCTTGGTCAAGGCATTATTTTTAACTCGTTTGTTTTATATTAATGCAGAAGATGCTCGTCTCCTATGAGTGCAAGATTTTAAACGGCAAATTGGTATCAGACATCAGGATTGTAAGGTACTGTCCATTACTACAAACTCCTCTTGACATTTGTCAGTATAGGAAGCGGTATCAGAACTCGATTCAGATCACATGAGAAGAATAATGGACAAGGCCCTTGGGAAATAGTTGGATAATTACAGAGAACTCAGAACAAAGTTTTACCTACATGCTGTATTCACCTTAAATTTGCTCTTTCTGTATTTGAAAATTTATAGGTGACTTTAATAAGGAACAGAGCTAATACTTAAACTCTGTTTTAGAATTAGTTAATATTTTTTATTTGAAAATAATTTTTCCTTGTACTTTGTTTCCTAACAGATTTGAACACAGCATGAAACCCCCTGAGGCTGTAAGTTGATTAGATTTTCAAAATATTTATCTAAGACGCATGAGAAATTATTTTAAACCAGACGCCTAGTGACACAGGGACTCTGGAAAGGGAAGAGTCACACAGACTAGGTCACAGACGCAATGTGGAGTAGGGCTGCGAGCTCCAACCCAGGCCCTCTCTGGGGAACTCGTAAAATTGGTCCTAAATCCATTGCCGCAGCGCCACATTAGTCAGTCACCTGAATGAAAGCCCAAAATCCGTGTTTTAGTGGGATGGGTCATTCTGACACACCAGGAAGTCTTGGGGTTGGTCCACTGGAAGGATGAAAAGATTATCTAGATTCTAATCTTCCTTTGGCTCATGGGAGTTTCTTAAAAACATGTCCAATCTCCCATGGTCTCACCTTTCCCATCAGAGGTTTTCAACCCATGTCCTACCGAGCAAGCACATGGATCACCAGAGGAGAGCTTGGGGGATAGGGAAGTGGGAAGAGTGAGGGTAGCACCAGTGACTAGGCCTCCAGGCACAGGGGGCGGAACTCACAGATGATTCACCAACCAACCCCATACTTAACACATTTGACCTTGCACACGTTCATACACAGCATCATCCAACAAACATTTAGTGAGCACCACTATGAGCCCAGCTCTAAAAATGCAACTCCCTAACCCCAGGAGCGACCCTCTAATTTAAGTGGAAAGACAGAGACAGATTGAGAGAATAAATGAGCCAAATCCTTAAGGGACTGGTAACCACACATGGGTGGAAGCACACAATGGGCACTGAGATGAACAACCTTGTCACTATGTGTGACCTGCCTGTGTCCTATATGTCAGTCCTGAGACAGTGGGGGGTCTATCAAGAGGCAAACTCTGGGAGTCATTGCAAGCCCAGAGTTCTTTCATCTCATTGTTAGTGGGGAGGCATGTGATATGCCAGGCTCTGTGCAGTGAAAGGAACATAGAAGGCATGGTCTCTGGCCTCATGGAACCACCTACCTGACAGGGACACAGACATTTATGCAAATAGCTGAGCATGAAGAAGATGGTGGAGGAGAACCACCTGGGAGGCAGACAGCGGGTTCACTAAAAAAAAAAACAATGCCTGAACTCAGCTTTGAAGGAGGAGCAGGAGTTTAACACAGACCAAAAGTGTGTACCAGGTAGAGGAAACAGAACGTAGAAAGGGTAGGCAGCAGGGACTCATAGGCATGAGGAGGAGGGGACCGCAAAGGAAGAAAGATACATGGAGCATCAGCAGGGAGGACCAGACCAGAGAGGGACTTGGATAGGACACAAAAGAGGAAGCATTCAGCAGCAACCAATCCTCCCCAGCCCTGACCTCAGTGTTTGTCCTGAGGGCACACAGTTGCACAGCTATGCCTACCGCAGTGCCTGGAACATAATGAGAACCCAATAAACATGTATTGGGAATTATCTAAGGCATTAAAACCTACTGAAGAGAGTCTCTGAAAACCCCCAAAGAATTAGAGGCCTGAGAGATAGACTGAAACCCACCTCCCTACAGAACCCCGTCCAGTAACAGACTTCTTCCACTAGAAAAAAACAAACCACATACACAGAGGCATCCGAGACTGCTTTCCCTGATGTGGGGACTAGCTGAGGGACTGGTAGATTGACTGATAAAATGTTCCTCCCATCTCTTCCAGATGGACGAGCTAAGAGATGTGATGTCTGCAGTTATGAAGAAATTTATATCTACCATTACTGGTAGGTGGAGTTAATAACATGAACACCTTGAAGAGTCAGTGTCACAAGCAATGTACAGGGTGTGAAGCCACACCACAGAATGTGCTGTGGCAGTGAGCACAGTATCATCTTATCACCGTCTGGATCAGAGGACGTGTTTGTTTTTGTTTTTATTCATGTTTTATTTCTTTTATCCTCATCCGAGGATATTTATTCTATTTTTTAATATATTTTTATTAATTTCAGAGAGGAAGAGAGGAGGAGAGAGAGATAAAAACATCAATGATGAGAGAGAATCATTGATCGGCTGCCTCCTGCACACCCCACACTGGGGATCAAGCCTGCAACCCGGGCTGTGCCCTGATGGGGATCAAGCCTGCAACCCGGGCATGTGCCCTGACCTGGAAGTCGAACCATGACCTCCTGGTTCATAGGTCGATGCTCAACCACTGAGCCGTGCCGACTGGACTGGACTGGACTTCTTTGTTTTTAGATAGGGACTTCAGCATCGTCAGATGGCAAAACATGAAAACCAAATCAAAATGTCTCTTCTACAAGTCCAAATGAAACCCAGCCCACGGGGTATCTTCTGAACAACAGCATCATGCCACTTAGAGGAAAGATGGAGCCAGGTCACCAGTCACACAGATACTAGGGTTTTGGAAATTCAAGAGTCTGAAGTCATAACCCTATGACCATGCCACCTACACATATTTATGATGAACTCTAAGGGAGTTCAACATAGTACAAACGGCACCAAAACAGCAGAGCCTAATTCTTCTCGTTTCTTAAGATAGTGAGGGCAGACACACCAACATATCTCTTGGTATCAATTCTTTGCGCATAGAATGCTCACGAGGTTTCCAGTTACTTCTAGGGTGTCTTCTGGTCCTTGTGAACTCACCAATACACACACAAAAGACTGAGAGACACATGTCTTGCTCAAATCGCTGTGTTGAATGGGCAGGGGGTGATTTCTCCTAGAGCCATATACTGCCCAGAGATCCCTCCAGTTGACTGTGGATAGGACACCAAAGAGGAAGCACTTGTCCTTGTTTCTCTCAACTCAAAATGCTCCTTCTTCATTTCAGAAGTTTCCAGTCAATGGAATATTCCACCAGAAATATCCTCAAATCTGCTAAACAATGCCAAGGCTGAACTACTTAAATCGGTAAGAGAGAAAGAAAGACAGATATTTTCCTTTTGCACTAAAGCCCCCTCTACACTTCAATCTTCAGAGGACTAAATGGGGCCAGTGGGCCCTGGCATCACAGGCGGCTCCAAGCTGCCTTAACAGCTCCATCCCATTGGCCGTCTCTTTCCCAGGCAGATCCACTACCTACTGCCCCTTTCTTCACCATACAAGCCCTAACATGAGACACTCATATTCTTATAATCAAATAATCTGTCCGCTGTCCTCATGCGGACTCATACTTCATTGACTATGCCTCGATCACCTCTTCAGAAACATGCCCACTACATATGCCTGACTCGTCTACACAGTCACCTTGTGTCTGCTGGAGCCTCTCCTTCTCTGCCACCCTGACACAAACACCCCCCTTCTTCCCGCCTATCCTCCCCACGCCAAAGGAAATATGAAGGAAAACTTGCTTCCTAAAAAAAAACCTGTTAAAAGAATGGGATTTTTACTTAAATTTAACATCAGGAAAATGATGAGGATAGAACTAGGGAAGATATATGAGTAAAGAAATTTAAAATCTCTATCACCCTTAGATGTCCCATTCTTAATAAATGTGCTTCATGAGTGTAATATCTGACCAAAAAAAATAACAACTTCTTTTATGTTGGCTCAAACCTCAGAAGTTGTACATTCCCACAGTTCACCCCCAAAGTCCCGTATCTGTGGCCAAATCAATTATTGGAGTGGAGAGGGTGGTGAAATCAGCATTTGCCTCAGTGCTGGTGTCCTACTTCCTGCTCCTACACCCCATTCCTCTCGGTGGCCTGGGACACATCACTTAGCCTCCCTAAGTCAGCCTTGAGTCAAGGGATTGGATCAGATGAATGCCAGCTGTATTTCAGCTACAAGTGGCAGAAAGCACAACACAAACTGGTGTAACAACAATAAAATCGTCAGTCCTGCACATTCAGAGATGGTACTAGCATCAGCAGTGGCTCGATTCCGGGCCCAAAGGATGACACCAGAATCCATGTCTTGGCTCCACCACTTCTGGGTGGTCCCCCACCTACCTACCAGGAGCTTCACCATCCAATTCTTTCTGGAATAGCTCAAATGACAATCACCAAGAAATAACCTCTGGGGCTCCCACTGGCCTGACTTGCTCCCTATCCCCATCCTCAGGGCAAGTGCTGTGCTCAGGGAGATGGAGGGCCCGGCTGGCACAGCCTGTGCCTGCAGCCAGCTTATATATTAAGAGTATAATTAGTTATTTTATCTCCCCACAGAGAGACCTTCAGGCGGCAAACTAAACCAGGCACATGGGATACTAAAGAATTTCCAAGAATGAAAGCACTTTGAAACTTCTCTTATGGAGTCAAGGACTTCCTTGTGATTAAGGAGCCAAGTTCAATAGTGTTCTGAACATGTCAACTATTCTTTGGAACCAGTGTCACCTTGAATGAACACGTGCAAGAAAATCAAGAATAGGGTTTCGGGTATTTTGTAATCATCTCTTTAATAATTATCTTGTTTTCATGCAGAAAAATGACTCACTTGTCTTCAATTCCTACAAATGGGAGTTTTGTAGTGTGTTCATGATAAGTAAAAGCACTATACATACTAAGGACATAAAAAATCAATAATGTGAATGATGAGGCAGCAACAGCCAGGATTAATTTATGTAGGGCACTAGGAGACAATCGTGACCATGATGAAGACGTTTCTTCCCATACCTCTGCCCTCTCCTCTCCAACTCCAAGTGCTTTCTTTTGCCTCTTGGCCCAACATGAAAATCACACAGGGGCTAGGATCCAATGTCCCCATCACCACATGTTACACAGAGAAAAGCACAGACCAAATGCTAAATGCTGGAGAGAACACAGCAGGTAACAGTCTGGTGATACCATAAAAACTGTGCTCAGTGTCTTGAGATTAAACTCAGTGAACAAAGCCAGGCACAAAAGACCACATATTGTACAGTTTATCTTATATTAAATATTCAGACTAGCTAAATGCGTAGAAACAGAATACAAAGTTGTGAATGCCAGAAGAACAGAGAGTAGGTAAGGCAGAATAAGGGTTTTATTTAGGAGTAATGGAAATGTTTTGGAACTAGATAGAGGTGGTGGTTGCACAACATTCTCAATATACTGAATGCCACCAAATTGTTCCCTTGACAATGGTTAACTTTTATGTTGCGTGAATTTCACTCCCATTTTAAAACAAAACACCTTCCAACCCAGAATAGCAAAAAGAATACCAAGCACCCATATTGTTTTGTGATATCATTCTTCATAAAAGTAATCAGGGCTCCTTGGGGAAAGTGCTAATTCTAGGACTGGAGAGGAAATATGAAAGATGGCCCTAGAGCTTCTTATACTCACAGAAAGTAGCTGGTTCTGCTTTGCTAAGGGCTTTCTCCCTGATAGTTCCTGCTTCCCCTGGCCCCTCAGAGAATATTATGAACTCAGTGTTCAGTGCCTCAGAGAAGGGAGGGTTCCTCAGAAAATGGACCAAGAGCCTGAGCTGCCCAAGTACAGGCGCAGAGAGGGTGGGGTATAGAAAGACACACAGAAAATCTACACGCACAGGAGAGGTTCCCTCGTTGAGAGAGGGAGGAAGCAGGGAAGAGAAGTTTTGGAGTTCCTAAGAAAATAAAGGACTGCAAAGCACAGAGATATTTGAGGCCTTGCGTACAGAGGAAAGAGATAGAGGAAAGAGGCAACGGAAAGCAACCAGACCACCGAGAGAAAAGCTGGGCCCAGGTGGGTGACTGTGAGACGCCGCACCTCACAGCTGCACCTCGGAGCTTCCCTGGCCCTGCAGAGTGTGGCAGGCAGCAGTGGAGTTCTCATGTGCCCAACAGCAGTGCCATTGAGGGAGAGAGCCTGAAGCTCCCCCTCCCACCAACATCCCAGTCCCATGTAGCCTGGGCAGGCAGGGCTGTGAGCAGAGAAGGGCAGGGAACCAGAGGGCTTTGCATTCTGATGAAAACAGCTCCATAGCTGCCAAGCGTGAAGAAATGGCAAAGCACAAAAATGACCCTCTACCCCAGGGCACCGGCCAAAGCCGACAGCAAAAGGCCTGGCCCCAGGAAAAGACCGCTGAGGAGAAACTTAGGGTTGTGATAAAATCCCCACCACAGGAAGAATGGGGGCTTCGGATGGACTCTGTCTTGGGAATGAACTAGTGTCCAGCTCCCTCAGTAACCCCAGCTGGCCTCGGGAAACAGGAGTTGTGAGAGAGGCCCTAGCGTGCAGCACAAACCATGGAGGGACCCCAGGGCCTGTGGCAGAGTCCCTGTCCTGTAGTAGGGGTCGGAGCCCAGAGCAAATCATGCTGTGAGTTTACTACTTGACTCCAGACCTTTTGTCAAATATGAACGACAAGTCCAGCCTTGAAGAAGAAAAAAAATCCCCAATCAGCAGCCCCCAAGGGGTCTCTGAGCTAGAGGGTAGGACATCCCTGCACTTTGACCTTGCAAAGTCTCCTGGCCCTTGGTGTGTATATAAGATAAACTAAAGCTGGGAGACACTTTCCCAGGGGAGAGCTGAATGCCACTCCAAGCCCAGAACTTTCCCATCTGTGTGTGAGCACAGTGCCTGGCCCATGGTAGACACTGAGTATGAAATGATCGAATGCCGTCTTCCTCAGGACCATGAGGAAAGCTGGGCAGGCCCTGGCTTACTCTTCACACCTCTGCTCCAGCCATGGAGACCCTCACTCCCCCCGTGACTGTAACAGGTGCATCTCACTCTGCAGCCTGACCCTGTGTCTCCATTAGAGACTCTGGGTAACCCTGGGTGGTGCCTGACAGGGTGTGCATTGAATGACCCCATTGCCAGGCCGAGTAGCCCACCCGCTTCTCATGCTGAAAGTCAGGATGCTGGCTCCAAAGACCACCCTCCTCCTCCCTCCACCCCATATGGCCTCTCTGGCCCCCACCTCCACCCCCAGGTTTCTAAGCTCAGCGGGGGAGTAAACAGCCCAAAACACCTTTCCCACTCACCTGCTCCTGTGGCCTAAAGTCTCCCCCACTGGCATCACTCCTGGAGGTCTTCCTAAGGAAATAACACCTTTTAAGAAGTGGTTTTCAATTTTTTCAAAAGGCTAGTGACCCACTTCTTCGAATAAAAGCTTACAAACAAACCTGATACATGAAACAGATGACAAGACAGCTGCTCTGGTTAGAAAGAGGCCAGGGACTGTGGTTCTGCCCCATCTAGAATCACCTTCTAACCCCCAAAGTGAGCACCTCTAAGGAACCTCTGTGCTCCGTGGAGTTCAGGCACTGAGTTACCCAGGAGGAGGCCAGTGTGTGAGCCATCAAGAACCAAGGAGCAGAGTGCTGAGGGAGGTGAGCACAGGACAGATGCCTTTGACAGAGGGATAATAAACTAAATATGGGGGGAAATTCATTGGGAGAAATGAGGGGCCTAGAAGGGAGAACATAGAAGGCTCTCACTCTTCCTCACTCAAGACAAGGTACCACCATCCCCGAGCTAGTGGGTCAGGCTAAAAACACAGAAAGTCTCTGATTCCCTCACGCCTAGTCCAGCGCCGAGTCCAACCCTGTTGTCCTACTGTCTAAATCACCATCAAATCCACCAGCAAGGTTCTCTGCTTCCACTCTGTCCCTCCTCAGACTCCACAGAGCAGCCAGATTGGACTTTTCAAAACATAAACCAAATCATCACTTCCTGGTTAAACCCTCCAACAGCTTCCCATCCCACTCAGAAGAGAATCCACACTCTTCACCACAGCCCACAAGGCGGGCCCTGGGCCTGGGCCTCCAGCCTCCTCTCCTTCCCCACCCCACCAGCGCTCTCTCCCACCCCTCCCCACTCAGTCACACTGGCACTGCTGAGTTGCTCAAACCCACCACAGTTCTTGCCCACTGCAGACAGCAGGCATGCACAAGCCTTTCCCTCTCCCTCTTCCCCTGACCCTGCATGAGCAATTTCCTCTTATCCTTTAAGTCAGGGGTGGGGAACCTTTTTTCCGCCAAGGACCATGTAGATATTTATAACATCATTCAAGGGCCATACAAAACTATCAATTTAAAAACTATGTTTCTATGAAAAAAAGCTCCTAGATTTATTGAATTTTTTGAGTCATGCCTGTGGTTGCCCTGGCAGGGGCAGACCAAATGATGCGGCCCGCGGGCAGGACGTTCCCCACCCCTGCTTTAAGTAAACTTAAAAATCACCTCATCTAAGGAGTCCTCCACTATTCCCATGCCAACTCTTCATTTCTTTCAAAACGTTTATTATTTTATTAAAGAGACAGTTTACTCTTCTGTGTCTGTCTGTCTGACTACAAGTCACGAGAGGAGAAACCATGCCTCACTGATGCATTCCTGGTGGCTGGCATATAGTAGGTGTTTAATGAATATCTGAGGAATATGTGGGTGGATGAATGGGTAAATGGATGGATGGATAGATGGATGGATGAATGGGTAAATGGATGGATGAATAGATGGATGGATGAATGATGGATATATAAACTTACTATAGGCCTGATGCATGAAATTCGTGCAAGAGTAGGCCTTCCTTCCCCCAACTGCTGGCACCGGCTTCCCTCTGGCACCTGAGACCGGGCTTTCCTCGCAGCCTTGGCTTCGTCCAGAAGGTCGTCTGGAAGGATGTCCAGTCTTATTAGCATATTCCACTTTTATTATTATAGATTACCACTAATCCAGGCCCCACTCACACCTAAGGACATAACATTACTGAAAACAAGAGGAGAGGCCGGGGCCAGGGACAACAGACTTTCCCTTTACATAAAGATATATTTTGCCCTGGACGGGTAACTCAGTTGGTTAGAGCATCATCCGAATACACCAAGGTTGCAGGTTGGATCTCTGGTCAGAGCACGTACTAGAAATAACTAATGAATGCATAAATAAGTGGAACAACAAATCAATGTTTCTCTATCTATCTATCTATCCATCTATCTCTATCTTTCTCTCTCTCCTCTCTCCCTTCCTATCTCTTACTAAAAAAAAAAAAATTGTTAAATAAAGAAAAAACAAGGATATGTTCCAAGGACAAATAACCCTTATCTGTTTATTGGAGCAGAGAGCTCTTCTAGGTAGTGCCGTAAAAACAAACAAAACCTACTTTGAGATGGCCAACAGAGTCAAACTGCTCTCCTTTCCAGAATAACTTATAATTCAGAAATCTCACTAATTGGCACTCACTTTCCCCTACAATAAATCCAAATGCTTGAGGTTGGCAACACAAAGCCACATCTCACACAAATCGGGAATACTGACAATATTCATATTCTTAGAAATGTGTATGATAAATTAACACTTCTGGGGAGTCCCTAAAAAATAACCAGAGATGCAGAGAAAGATATAAGGGCAAGAATGGATACTACAGCATTGTTTATACGGTGAAAATTTGGGAACAACCTAAATGTCCAACAATACAGGATTTTTCTTTTTTTTATAACAAATTCTTAGTGAGAAATATCCCACAGCTATTAAACTCATGCTTTGATAGAGTATTTAGTATTAAAAGCAAATGCTCACTAAAAAATTAGGATACAAGATGATTTAGAACATGATTCCAGATGTGACTATTACATA